TGCACTAATCTAGTTTCTGATTGGGTTTTGTGTGGATTAACCAGCAGATTTGCCCCCCTGTGATAACATCCTAATTGGAATTGTAGTTCAAAGATCTTGCTGGGTCAACGAAGAAGGTGAGATGCTTTCTCTGACCTCTACAATCCAGTGTTCATCAGATTCCTTTTCCCCCAGTTGAAAAAACCCAAAGATAAAACTTAAGCATGCTATTTTTGACATCGTATAAGGACTAGTCCAGTAGACCAAGTCAGGGAGGGATATGGAAGGTCCACATAGTTGACATATTTGTTCATGTATCTACTTTATAAAATGGCATCATCTACTACAGTCACCCGGAGTGATATATCATTTTAAAAAATAATTTAAAATTATGAAATGGATACACGGCTTAGGTTCAAATTATCTGACAGATTGCATCTCTGAATATAAGCCTGTCTGGACCTGGAGATCTACAAGAGAGAGATACTTTTCTCATTCCTTTGACCTTCCCAGGCATAGCTGGTGGGAAAATGAGAGAGGACCTTCTCAGTGGCTGCATCTACATGTTGGACCTCCATCCCTAGGGAGGCTAGAATGGAGCCCACCTCACTATCCTTCCATTGGCAAACCAAAACTTTTAAAAAAATATAGTCTGGCTTTTCAAATTGGAAAATGGTTGTAAGTACTGTATTGTTTTAAAATGTATTGCTTATTCTTTTTTTCAAAGTCTTTTAAAGTATATGGTTTTGATACAGTGTTTATTTTAATTCAGTTTTAATGAGGCTTTTGGCATGTTTTTGATTGTAATCTTTTAAATGTGCAAGTCACCTTGAATCCTAGTCTAGGGGAAAAGATGAGTAATAAATAAAGATGGTGGTGGTGATGGTGGTGGTGATGATGAAGATGATGATGATGATGACAATTTTGGTGTTGGTGTTGTGCCTTCTAGTTGTTTCTGACTTATGGTGGCCCTAAGGCAGATCTATCATGGGGTTTTCCTGGCAAGATTTGTTCAAATTATGTTTGCCATTGCCTTTCCCTGAGGCTGAGAGCATGTGATTTGCCAAAGTTCATCCAGTAGGTTTTATAACGAAGCTGGGAATAGAACCCTGGTCTATCATCATCATCATCATCATCATCATCCCAATACCACCACCACCACTGGATTAGGTGTTATGATTCATTACACATCCAGCATATTGTAGTTGTTTCATTGTAGGACTAGGACTCTAGGACACCAGGGTCAAAATCCCCACTCATCCTTGAGCTTGTCATAGTCTCAGAGGAAGGCAATGGCAAACCTCTTCTGAACAAATCTTGCCAAGAAAACCCTAGAATAAATCTTTATTGACTTGAAGACACACTAAAGCAAGAACATGTTAAGAAATCCATCAGAGGCTCTTGCTTCTGGCAATACAAATCCAGACACATATGTAACTGACATGAGCAATGTGATTTACATTTCAGTATTAGCATGTCTTCCATTGCTGCCATTCAGTGCCAGGCATACCAAATAGATTATTTATGTTAGTCTGTATGAATGCATTATTTTGGTATCACTGCTCTATTTCCTGTTAAACTTCTGCACAGATCTTTATTTTGACTTCTACATGCATCACTTTCTCTGTTTGCTCCCAACAGATAATGAGTTTTCAAACTATATTTCCTTGTGTGGTTCTTATAATAGAAGGGATGATAAATGTACATTTCTAGTAGAGAATCTGAGTGATAGAATACTTCCAAGAGAAGCAAACAAAGATATCTTATACCTAGGGGTCTACATGCTAATCTGAGCACTTCTACAGTTTGTCAATGAATGGCTTGTCCTGTTTGGTTGGAGTGGAGCTGATAACATCTTTTGCTGCCATTTAACCTTGATCTGAACTCTTGGCTATATTTATTAGGCCTTCTCTAACCACAAGAGCAGTAAATATTGTCACCCGATAAAGTTAGGTCATATGCTCTTTACTCTATGGAACCATTTTACAGAGTCATTATGTCTACTGTGAGCCTTTACCTAAAACTCAGTGTAACCTTTGATAAATAGTTAGAGCACATTGGTTGGTTTGAAAGTGTGAAAAGTAGAAATAATAAGGCTCTGATATTTCCTTCGTAGGAGACTACCATGACCCCTCCTTGCTCTCCTTCCATTGGTAGGCAATGACATTATTATTAATATTAATATTAATATTAGTATTATGATTAGTATTATTCCAACAGCCATTCAAGAACTGGAAATTTTACAGAAAAGAATATCAATGGGCTACAATCCTACTTTCAACTTTACTGTTTTTAGAATGATTTTATTATTTGTAATAGTATGTTTCAATTTTTAAAATGCTATTGATAGTTGTAATTGCATTTTAATGTTAACTTTTTTTTAAAATGTAATTTGTTCTTTGTTTGTATAGTGGTAAGTATTCCTGCCTGCCATGCAAGAGATTGAGGTTCAATTTCCAAAAAGTAATATTACTTTTTTTTAAAAGTAACTTACACTGAGTCCCTGTTTTTTTGTGGAGAGGAGGAAGGGAAGGTTAGTCTGCTTCACAAGATTGTTATGAGAATAAGGAAACAATCCTATACATAACATATTTGATAGTAAGCCCCACTGGGACATAGTACAATCTATATGAATTAAATCATTTTGGAATTCACTCTGTCCTGAGAAATATAGATATATAGGTAGGCACTATAAGTGCAGCAAATAAATAAAAATCAGAAAGTAAGACCAAAAGAGACCAAGACTTGACCTGAAAAACTGATACTACTGTCATGAGAAGTAAGGTGCCCCATGTGATTTGTTGTATGCTGCGATGTGGGATGGAAACAAGACAAGAGAGCAACCACACTAGTTCAGTAACAAAAGAAGCCCTAGAAATGTGTTCTCCATCTGAAAAATTCACATAACTCAACCTCATAGGGTGATGGTTGTAAAGAAGAGGTTAACAGGGTGTGGGTGTGATAGCTAAGTCACTTTTTTTAAAAAAAAAGTTTTGGCCTTCTGGGAACTATAATAAAAAAGAAAGAGATGCTAAAACTCTTTATCTTTCAACTGCATATCATATTATCCCAGTGCTAGAGATGATTTTCTTAATGGAGAAAGGATGTTCTTAACTTCTTCATAGACAAAAATCAATTTAAACAGGAAAAAAATGGGAAATGTTAAAGCTTTCAAAACTTAATAATGACATTTCTAAATATGATTATGATTTCAATCCTGCCACTGCCCAGTAGAAATGTCAAAGATAATACTATGGGTTTAGATGTGCTCTGGGCTATGATTTGGATCTAATACCTTTGTATTAGATACAGATTATAGTGCACAATCCATCTAGATCAAAAAGCTCCTTTTTCCAAGTGCAGGTCGAACTGAGAAGAACTTTTGTTTTTCACCCATGATGCAAATCTTACGGCATGAATTGTATGTGCAATCCTAACTAGTGGATTCCTTATTGTGTATGGCAAAAAGCAGGGGTGGCCCTTGAACCCCAATTCCGTGGTGCCTGAAGTCCCCACCAGACCCCCAAAGCCCCCCAATCACCCATTTCTTTATAAAAAAGTGGTGTGATTTGGAGACAACTTCCCCACAGTCTTTCAGAAAGCCCTTCAAAACACATAAAACACCCCATCTACAAACACAAGCACCACAGAACCCTGTCCTATTCTCAAATCTCTCTGTTTTTCTCTGCAGTTCTTCCCAAAATGGTGGCAGGATGTAACACATCATCACTATCTATCACCATTTTCGAGAGATAGAAGAGGAAAATTGAGATATTTGAGCTTGCTGGGAAATGGTCTGTGAGCCGCAAAGGAGGCTCTGGGGGGAAATTTGTCCATGGTTCCCAGTGCAGTTGCCCACCTCTTCTATAAGATACGATTCTGTATTGTTCACTCTACCATCAACAGATTGTTCAAAGTTTTTAAAAACTGCATTCTCATATATTCATTCTGCTTCTGTGTCCCTCTTTTATTTTTAAGTATACTTTCCCTATAAATTGCGAAGGAAGAAAAAAAAACTTTCTTGCCCCAAATATGAAAAACCTTCCAGAAAAACAAAACAAAACATGTCAACCTTCATCTCTAACTAATATGGTTGAATACACAACCTCCTTTTTTTATGTTAAGCCCTTAGAGCACTAGTTCCCAAACTTTGCTCCTCCATACATTAGGGACTCCAATTCCCATATCTCCCTGCCAACTTAGCCAACAGTCAGGAACTCTGGGAGATGAAGTCCAAAACATCTGGAGGACCAAAGCCTGGATGGTCAAATCTGTCAGCTTTAGTTTCTCTCACATTAGGTTTTGAAAATTTCAGGTTTTGCTTTAACATCTCAGGCATCTTATATAGGGTGAAATTTTCAAAATTGGCTAAATTATTATCTCAAATGAGTTGAAATGATATCCTTACCAATCCATGTGGGATCCATTCAGAAAGACACCTGCTTGGTTTACCAGGAACTGGTTCTTCTTGATTCAAGACATTATTGACTGGTTTAGAGAAATCCATCTGTTTATACATGATAGTAGTAAAGCCAACTGCTGATCAACCAGGGTTCTAATGTTGCAGTATTGCATATATGTTTCATACACATGTAGCAGTTTATGAACTGACAAATTTGGCTTGGAAGAAGTGACAATAAGTGTGTTTTTTTGTTGTTGTTTTAAAAGAAACAAGTTATATTCCATTCCTGACATGAAATCACTCACTGATGGAGGATGACTATCATATGGTTCAAATGTTGGCTCATGATGTTATTCCCTTGTGCTCTGCTGTGATGTTGAAGTGATGCTAAGATGGATGAGAGAAAAGAATATTTTCTACTGCAGGCCAGCAGTTTGTAACACACAGGATTTCCTCTGTGAGGTTAAGAAGCAATCATTTGGGTTACTTTTGAGAAAGGGGACAGTAAAGAGTTTGGTGGTAACTACACTTGAGAGCCTTGGGACTATAACAGTCACTAATTGCTTTCTACATGAAATGTTCAAAAGCTTAGCCATAATTTGAGACAAAGCCTCTTTGAGCTCCTTCAGAGCCTTTGCAAGTGTGTTTCACTTTGCAATATATATATATATATATATATATATATATATATATATATATATATATCACTCATTTATGATTTATTGAGCTGATGTTTGCAGGGGAACACACTCTAAACTGGGCTAGGAAAAGTGCAGCAGTGGGCTACATGCAGTTCACAGACCCCCATGTTTGCACACCCCAAAGCTCCCTACAAGTTTACTCAAGCCTTCAATTTTGAGCAATTGGGGGGAATCACCCCAGTCTCCCAAAATGTACACACAACATGCTAGAACTCCTGCCCCAATGCCCCAGATTCCTCAACCCAAATATCTTATATTTCCTCTGTATCCCTGTTTGGAAATGAATGAAGGAGATTCTTATTTTCCCTTCTATGTAACTCTAAAAAAGACAGATTAGATGAGTTTATTTGTTACCTATTCTGTATTTTATAGTTACATATTTTATTACGGATTTACCTATCAGTGCAATGCTTGTTTTTAGACATGTTGATGGTTTCTGAATTGCTATGTTCATTGCTGACATTTCACATGTTGATAGCCACTCTGAGCACAATTATGTGGAAAAGTGACATACAAATAAATACATCATGAAGATGAAAAATATGTGTAGGTCCACCTTCTTTATGAGTTCACCATGAAACTGTTCTGAAGCTGGGGCATGAGATGTATTGACAGTCTGCCCATCATGTCTATTTTCACCGATGCAACTTTTTGATAATTCCCTTTTCACTGATACAAGTTGTTATACATTTCCTTTCTGTAAGCAAAGATAAAATAAAATAAAATAAAAAAAGAAATAGAAATAACTCAGTAGCTACTTTGTTGATAGCTGAGACTATAGATGTTGCAATAACAAGAGTAAAGCCAGAATCCAGTTAGAACGTTGTTGTTGTTGTGTTCCTTCAAGTCTTTCTCAATTTATGCCAGGGAACCTATGCAGTTTTCTTGGCAAACTTTGCTAAGAGAGGGTTTATCGTTACCCTCCCCTAAGACAGAATGAATGTGACTTACCCAAGGTTGCTCAGTGAATTTTTATAGCCAATTTTGGATCTGAAACTTGATCTCTCAGAGCCCAACACATTGTCTATCCTTAGAACATTATGCTGACATAAACATTATTCAAATGGATCTTGTAGTACCTTTGAGACTAACTGAGAGAAAGAAGTTGTAGCATAAGTTTCTGTAGACTTGGTCTATTTCCTCAGACACATGCTACAAGATCTTCTTGCATGCTGATATTCTGGACTGATATTCCGAAACTATGTCTCTGAATAAAAATCATGGTTTGTGTAAATGTGGTCTGTAATGCAGCCAATTGTTCCTCAAACACATTTACAACTCCTTCTCCAGCATAAGATGGGAGGAGAGCTATCCAGCCAAGGGCAAGTTGAAAGCCTTGGCACCCATTTCACACTCAGTGTCACAACTGTGGGATTCAGTGTAATTATGCTGACATATTTTAACACTATGCTAAAAGTGTATCACATCTTGCCCAATATTATCCATCCATGGTGAAGGAAAAATGAGAAAGAAAGGGAAGGGACAGAAAAGGGGCCATCCAAGGATATTGTATGAAGGTGAACTTATGGCACACTGCAAAAGGTTAGGTTCTTATATGCAAAAAGGAAAGTCATGCTATGATGTGGTGCCAGTTGGAAACTAGGGCTGGGTTTGATGGAGTGTAATCTGAAGGAAACTCATTATGACATGAAGTGAAGTGGAAACCAGCAATGGCAAAGGTTAGGGGAGAGCAGGGATAGTGGGATCTGACAGTTTACTGACAAGAGAATCAAGCGGGTTAGAGCTTATAAGATAAAGCTGGGATGGACAATTTTTCTCATCCAAAGGTCCATAAAGATGAGGAAGATGATGCACTGGAACAGTTATATGTGCAGCCACATGCTAGAGCATTCCTTCAAATAGGAAAAACAAGTGAGCCACAGTTGGTTGGTTTTTCACAACACAAATAGGCATAACTTGTGGTCTACTTTCATGACACCTAAACACAAGTGCAACATAATTGTTAGTAAACTGCTTTTTTATATCGGTAGAATAGCAGTGTTAGTCTGTAGAGTCATTTGACCATATGCATCTGAGGAAGTAGACGTTAGTCTAGGAAAGCTCATGCTGGCAACTTCTCTCTTTCAGTTAGTTTCAAAGGTGCTCCAAGATCCCTCTACATACTGTTTTGTTTTTAATATATGTAGCATGCATGAACCACCTAGTTGCATTGGCTGATGCAGCTTAAGGTGTAGAATAAAGGAAATCACATGGGTGCATGTTTGCAGTATTTTAAATAGATGAGATTTAGGGGCTCTGCAGACAGTGAAAAGAGTAATCTTGGAGCCAGGGAAAGGGAGGGGCAGCCGGACACTGGACGCCCCAAGCCCTTCCTGAGGACATCATCAGAGCACCCACTGTTG